TACTGGAAGAGCCTGGCATTTTAATTACAATCGATTCTATCATCAGCTACTCGTTTGGCTCATCATTTGCAGCTTTGAAAAATAATGTGCATAACAGTAGCATTAAGCTACTTTCCTTTCCAGAGCAAAAACTGGCAGATAAGGAAAAGTAAGTATCTGTAAAAATTGTACATTAATTCAATGGCTTAAAATGCTGAAAGTCATAATCAACACACTTGATACTGGTTTGATTTTTTTTGTTCACAACATACTTCAAAGGCCAGAAGAGCTACAGACCCGGTCACATCTCCTAGCATTTCTCTGTGGGAACGGGTTCTTCATCTCCCTTTAGAAAGTATGCATATATTAAATCATACTTTTTAATTACTCCCAGACTGAGAAAGCTTGGATCATGTATCTGCCATCATAAGGTTTCCACAGTTGCATGTTGGATAGAATAAAGAAAGCTGTCATTGACAGAAGGATCTGTAGATTGGCCGAAGGAAAAGTTAACATTCTAATTAAAAACAGTCCCAAAACGTTAGCAAAAGGTACCAACTTATTCAGGGGACTTCGATCTACTTCAGCCCAGTCTGCCATGGTACTTATTTTGTCCATAAGCACCAAAGTGTGAAAACTTAAGCATTTGTCCAGAATTACCGCACATAATCCACTCTCAAATTCTACTCTGCAGATCACTTACAAGTTCCCCAAATTCTCTCCAACTCAAATCACCAAAAAAAAAAAAATCTAATCCTCATTCACACTTTTGCATAGTTTGGCATTTTCTGGAGTTGTACTTGTTTTCTTTCATAGCTTTTGAGAGGACTCGTCTGTCACATATGCAAGTACTTCCAGTCTAAATCCTTCAGGAGAAAAACTGAGTCCCACTTAAGCAGCAAGCTGTCCAGGACTGTTTGACCTTCTTCTTTCAATTCAAAGTAAAGATTACTCAGTTTTATCTGCACTTTCAGATTTTTCCCTTTGCATCATGCAGCGACGAACTATGCTGTCAAAACTTCCTAGGTAAAATAGGCCAATGATGCGAAAAATGCCCATGCAAACAACCTGGAAACAGAGAGAAACATCTTTCAATCCATTTAAGATCCCGGATTGCAGCATATTATTTACTCGTGAAATAAAAAAGTTCCAGGCAGGTATGTTATATAATCTCAAGAAAACAAATTTATGAAAACCATCATAACTATGGAACAGTTCAGGACTGAGTAGCAGGTAATAATCATAGCTTTCCCACCAACTTGCTGCTTCAGCTTGAAAATACTACTTCAGTTTCCTAAACCCATGTCTCCACAGTATTAACAGCCATTTGATGAAAAAATAATCAATGTTTGCACAGTGTTCTACATTTTAAGAAATTGCGAGTACGGGGCCTTCCCAAATCTTACCTGCTGAAGACCTTCAGTGATAGAAGTGACTGGTGACATTCCACTTGTCAATATCGATAGCATGTAACCATCTGATCCAACCGAGCTGTTGAAGTTCCCTTGCTGGATGGAAGGAAAACAGTGATTAAGAAAACTAAAAAAGTAATTTACCCAGTTGTGGCAAATCATGATGTGTCTTTATTTCAACAGCTATTCTTGATGAACATAGCTGATTTATGTCACTAACAACAAATACTTCTATGTAAAAAAAATTAACACAATTAAGAATAAAAATACGAAAAAATATTTTGTGCTATACAGCAACATTCCAAAAGGCATTCACTTAAAAATGGACAAGGAAACTAACTTCTCTTTGAGAGAGGTGTGCTAAATTACTGCAAATTTCTTTACAAGATAGAAAGGCTCTAAATTTCTTCTTGAAGCGTGCTTACTAATGGAGAAAATGCATGATGGTCTCCCCATCCGTAAATATATTTCAGAGACAGAATTAAACCCTAACTCTGTCAGATCACCAATCACTACTATAATTATAGAATAAAATACTGCTTGTCTTTTGTTAAAATTAGTTTGCTATCACATGAGATTTGGCAGGGGGATGTATTTCAAATGCTAGATGAAGGAGGACCTGTTACTTATGTCAAGGATTTTCAACTTGCCCTCCTCAAAACTGTGAGATACACAGCCTGCTAAGCAATTCAGCTGGCAGAAGAGGGGGACAGACACCAGGAAAAAGTTGTTTGTTTGATTGGTTTTTGACTGCTCATCGGGAAAACTGCAGCTCTACAACTCTGACTCCCAGGCTTCTCCCATGTGTTTCCAGCAGACTTTATGCTCTGAAACACTGCAGGACTAAATCTATGGAATATGAAAGTGAAAGAAGAAAGTGATGTTCCTGAATCAGGGTTAGGAGTGAATCTACGCAAAGTAGTAGAGGATATGAGATTTGGTTATTTCCCAACACACTTCTCAGAGGACTGCGAGTTTCCTACAGTACAGAGCTACCTTTTAATTTCTATTTCAGTCTCTTAGATGATGGCTTGAATGCATAAAGATCATGTCTGAACTCATGTATCATCCAAAGTGCTGGAAAGTATGGTGTAGGAATACCAAATGCTTAAGATTAGAGAGGAGATTAGTTTTCCTTAAGCACCAAAGCAGAATACTATGTGAGGTAGTACTTGCTTTTAAAACTCACTACCCCAAAGCCAGACATCATTTTGTGTTTATGTGCTGTATTTGTGAAAATATTGTAAAAACTTCACAGTTGAACACCTGCTGTAGATGTAAATCATGTTGAAGATCAAGAGTATTTGGAACTGCAAATTAATTACAGATTTTAGGATTCAATCGCTGTGCTTTATGAACATGAAATTTCAGATTTGTTTCCATTCTGAGGTGCTTTATTAAGCATGCAACCATACCATAGCACAAAACATGAAAAAAAATTCCTCAGAAAGGCAGTACACCTTTAACCACTAATAGCAGCATTTTATATATTTTAATCACTCATAAATCACACGCTTAAGACATTGAAAGTCAAAAAGGCTAGACTGCATTTATTGTAAAATTATTTTTATATGAACTCATCTTCAAGAAAAATAAGATAGTCCAACAAGCTTTTGAGGTTAGAAATATGGTATTTGATACATAAAAACCCAATAGAGTTTAGTGCTTTAAAGTCAGTCATAATCTGCCTTTGAGACATTGCATCATACCGATGCATCATTTTGTTCTGTCTAATGTACAACTTCAGACACTTTTTAGTTCCAAGAGATTCTATAAAATCATTTGTGGGCACGGTGGCAAAATAATAATAAAGAAAGTACTTCATGTTCAAACTAACCAGCAGAGAATACTGTTTCGTGTAAATTTATTTTGCATTTAGCTTAGCCATTGTCTTACAGTCTTAAAAAGCATTACATTCGAGCCCAGTCTCTCCAACGAAGAACATACTTTAAAAAGATAATTTACTTACTATGGCATCTTTGACTATAACTCTGGCAACTTGTTCCGCTTGGCAAACAGATGAGGTTTCAGAAATTAGCTTCGTCTCTAAGGGCTTTAGTAGAAAAACATCAATATAAGTTTCACTAACACCACACAGGACAGAAAAATATGAAGGTCAAATTTTGGTTTTGGGTCTTTTCTCACGGATGACATCACTGTTAGCAAGTGGTATGATACTGTCACCTAAAAAATCCACTTAAAGAAAGGTAAAAGCACCTTCATAAATAATAGTCTAATTTTATGAAGGGAAAGGCAGACTTTTTCTTGCGTAGTACTTTTTTTTTTTTAGTATAGTTTATTACCAATAAAATATGAAAAAGTGGGTTTTTTCCCCCAACTATTTTATTTTCAGTAGAAGCTATCAAAATCCTTAAACGATGTCTCCTCAACACCTGTATTAGAATCATAGAATCATTAAGGT